TCATTAAGAAAACATCGAAATAATCTTTTTTTTTTCAATTTTTTTCGTTAAAAGTTGACTGAAAATTATGTTTGCTTGACGCACACTCCACTGAAAGTTAAAATACTTTGGCATCAAAGACACCTTATGACAAGTTTCCGGTATACTCAGCCAAAGAAGGTTTTAGAACTCAGTATCAAACGGAGAGCTTTCTTGAAAAAAATTGGCAATCAGAATTGAGGCCAAAAAATGTTGAATAAAATTGAATATGACTTGCTACTGCTCGATATGTTTTCATTTTTCTAGTCGAAAATTAGAGTTATTTTCAGTATATGCTTGACCTATGTCTCGACTTTCTTAAAATTTTCGACTATCAATTATTATGATTAATTTGAAACTAAACCTGTAATATATTTTTTCAAGTAATTTTTAATGATGATTCTTGAACTAAAACAACTAATAAGAATTACTTAGAAGCTACAATGAGCAGCGGAAAATCTATTTTCATAAACAAAAAATTGAATTTTCAATTATTTTGCACGGCTTGTTTTAAACAAAATTTATTTAAAACTATTAATCTGAAAGATTTAAATTTCTTTTCTCAAAATTTTTTCTTGCCCTAAAAATTCTTAGATCTCAATTTATGAAAAAGCTTCTGAAGTTGCAATTTTCTGGTGAACAAGCCTCCTTAATCGAAGTTTTTAATTCGATTTCAAATCTTCTGAAAATTTAACACAAAATAAACATTTTTTCTCCACCTTTGTTTCGACTGTACTTTAACAATGTTTTGGCTTTTTTATTTCTTTCGAACATGAGCTATTATGAATAATTTGAAACTAAAATTGTAATATCTGCTTTCCAGGTAACTTTTAGTGGTGATACTTGAACTGAAAACAACCAACGATTAACACTTAAATGATTTTGTAAACACTAACAAACTCAATCAATCTTTTTTAAACAGCAGGGCAAAACTGGAAAATTTATATTTATATTTGTCGGCATTTTATAAATAGTAGCAAAAAGTTAGGCCAGACAAAACTAAACTAGTAGCAAAACTAAAAAGTTAGGCCAGAGCAATTAAAATAGTAGCAAAAAGTTAGTACACACAAAATTATTTGAAATGAGCAATTGTGTCCGCAAAACTCAGTCAAAATGCGGAGATGGCTCGTTTTAATCAATTCTGTCTGTCTAAAATTTTTGCTACGTTCTTGCTCTGTTCTTTTTTGTAATTTTAAAAAAAATTTATCGGACAACGTAAAAATTTTTTGAAATAATGCTGAGATTGAGACAGTGAAATAAAGTTGAAATAACAACCGAATTTTTAAAATTGCATTTGAATTGTCAAAAGATCAAACCACAAAAATTGCGCTTTTTGCGCGGTCAGTTTTTTGAAAAAAACTTCAAGCCTTTAGTTTCAAATCAAACTTCATTCAGCAGCGATCGATTATGCAATTTTTCGAAAAAAAAAAAACACATAAACTGCCGAAAAAAAAGCAAACGCGAAAGTTCAGGGAAAAATTTCCTCTAAGTTTCAACTTGGTGGTCAGAATATTTCAAAAATTTAAGGTTCAAAAAAAAATTGTTAAAAGCTATACTATTAGGAGCAAATAATTGTAACAGACAGAAATAATTAAAAACAACAATTTGCCAACTTTGAGCAATTTTGGCATATAAATTCAAAGTTTTAGGTGATCTTGAGACCTTCTTTTTGTCTAACAACATAGCTTTTGCATGTAAGAATTTCCTGAAATATGTCAATTGCTCTTTTAAATTAATTTTGTTTCTCAATTTTTTGCAACTAACTCTTTATAATGAAAAAATGCATGTCAGATTGCAGTTGAATCAATTTTTTTTTGAAGTTAAGGGCTTGAAATTCTATTCAAAATTAATAGCCTCTGAAAAAACGCAATCATTTAGTTTGCTATTTTGACAGTTTAAATGCATTTTTGAAGTATTGGTTGTAACTTTAATTCTATTTCACTGTTTCAAGGTCAAAATTATGTAAGACATTTAAGACTTTGTCCGATAATTTTGTTAAATCATAGAGAATTGCAAAAAGTTTGGATAGACATAATTTTTTTAAAAAAAACAACCGTTCCATTGCATTTTTGTATGCACTTTTGATGTTTAAGACAATTTTGAGACACAACTTTGGTCTAATAGTTCAAGTTTTCCATGCAATTTTTTCAATTTTTTTCGCAGTTTTTTTAAATTTTTGAAAATTATTATTTTAAAAAGGCATTAAAATACTCAAAGTAAACTAACACTAACGTTACCCAAAAAAAACAACGTTTTGTTTCCAGCTATTATAAGCATTTGAGCCATAATAAGTGTAACAAAAAATCAAAAGTTTCATGCCAGTTTTTCACATTTTTTCAAAATTTTTAAATGTGGTTCAAATCGGGACATATCAGTCAATCCAGTCTGATGATTATTTAGGTTTCCTGGTTTTGTGTGGAAAGCGAAAAGAAAAAAACTAAAACACACCCGAATAAAAAATTCCTCTCCATTTTCAATGGTCGGAACAAAAACATCACTTTGAACTTTCAATAATTTTTGGGAGATGATTTTGAGAAAAAATCAAAACAAAACATAATGTGTCATAGTTTTCAAATCAAACAACATTCCATGAACGTTGAAAGAGATCCACTATGGCATCAAATATTGACCTTTTGCTCTGGTAATCAAAATAGCAACTTTCGGACTAATTGAAAAATAAGTTTTGTTTAGATTTTTTACGAAGATTTCATTACATTTTGGGGAAACAACTGGTTTTTTATATTCAGAAAAAAACTTGAGGTTTCATTAAAATCCTCACTTTTTGTTTAATAATTTTGGTATCTCATCAAATAATGCTTGACTGTCACGATAAAAAAGCGTTCAATCTTTTGAAAAATCTTGAGTTCCTGTTTGTGACTGTTTGAGACTGTTTTCACTTTTGAAAGTCACAAGCTCCACAAAATGTTTAGATCTTCAGTGGTTAAAATTTTTTTGTTTGTTGTGGTCTCTTGATGTTTACTTCTCATTTTTCGAATCTTTGAGGGCATCGAAAAAAGTTGTTGAAGTTTATGATGTCTCTTCATTAAATATATTGCCATACTGATCTTTTTTCTTGTTTTGAATAAAGTTTTTGACTTTCTGACAGTTTAAAAATTTAACAAGTCCTCCGTTTTCAAGTTTTAATGTCTTTCAAGAAGTTTTCTTTTAACTGACCAAGCTTTTTTCTTTTCATTATCAATCCAAGATTTTCCATAACTTTTTGTTTTGATCGAATGGGTAAACAAAATCTTGAGTTTCCACATAAAAGTTAACTTTAAAATTTTAAGCTCTGTTATGCATATAGAAACTTAAATTTGGTCAATTTTTTTAAAATTAATTTGTCTAGGCCCCAATTAAACTCTAATTGGTTTCATCGTTTTTCAATAAAACTCACTGTCTACACTATATTTCACTGTTCTGATTTGCATTGCTTGTTATTTCTGAGTTTAGCTGAACAAACACACCATGGCAACCAGAAATCTCATTTCAAGATTTACTGCTGTGAAACAAACAACATGCATGCGGCCGTTTTAAGATCAAATTTGGCCTAAACTGAGAGTGACCCGATTTGGCATTTAAAAAGTTCCCAGCGATATGAATTTTAATTCTTTGCTTTGTGGCTTTAAAGCAACTAAGTAAAGAATTAAAAATTCTTCTCGGTGGGAACCTTTAAGCAACAGTGGATAATTTAGGGTTAAATTGAAAACTTCCAATTAAAAGTTTTGACTTTTCTGTCAAAATCACTTACTGATATATGCATTACATAATACAAAAGATTTTTGGGATTCTGTTAACTTCCCCCCTCTTTTGATTTTCAGAAATTCAGCTTTGGCTGCCATATTTTCAATAGCTTAAAGCAATTTATAAGAAAATATATCAAAGTAAAAATTTCATGTAGGTATTATATAAATAGTGAGTACAAAAACGAATGCCCAAAAATGAAAACCCAATTAATCTTTGACATTTTTAAAATGCATATTTTAAACAAGAATGGTTGTCAAAAATAAAACATGCATAGGACGAAATAGTTAACAAGACTGCTCGTATCAGGGCGAAGCCCTGAATGTTCCGACTGCCTTTTAAGATTTATGGAGCAGCAGTAATAACATAAAAATTTAAATGAATAGAATAAAATGAAATTTTTTTTTCAAATTTGAAATTTTTTATTAAAATCATCCCCCCACACGCCATTTGAAGTACAAAAAGATAGATTTCATTCCTTTTAACAAATCAATTATGGCAAATAAGCTTCGTTCAACCAATTTGGAACGATTTGTAAGACGGATTAAATCTCCGCTTACGCGTTAAGAGCGTCAATTATATCACGCGTTAATTGTCCCAAATTGGTCAAAATGGCAATCTTTAAACCCTCATAACTTTACAAAAAATGATCACAGGTGAAATATCTTTTCAAATTTAAGCTCAGGACAACAATGGCTTTCGAATGATATAAAAAAATTCCGTCAAAAATGGCTAGTTAAAAAGTCGAAATTTGTCTGAAGAAAAAAAAAACCCACCCCGAGCACAAATATTCCGTTACTTTCGTATCGAAAGTCGGAACAACAAGGTCCAAAAGGGGGGAAATAGTTAACAAGATCCGACTTTTGTTTGTTCGTATTTTGTATGAAGACCATGGTCAGTTTAATAACCGGAAAAAAACTTCAAGCTTGTATTTTTTTGTTTTTCTATATTCTTTGCATAATGCAAGAATAAGATTGAAGGAACTTAAATCTATCAATGATCTGAGTATTAGTATGATCTAATGGGTTGGCCTAGCTTGCAATGGGGCTGAGCAAACTTAGATTTCAGATATCCAGACGTGAAAAACCTAGGAGGTTTTTGATTTCAATTAAGCACAGTTAAAATGATGTCAATATACTTTAGTGCGCGTAAACACAGGACACTTTAGTGCGCGTAAACACATCAAAATGTAATAACCATCGGAACACATTGAAAGCATTTTAGTTTGTTTTCAAACTTACCCAACTGCTTCTGGTGGTGACCATATGACGATGTGCATCAGAGTGTACCTTTTCCATTTCCCAAGCTTCAAGCAAATGGTAAAATGGCAAATATGGCTTCTAAGTCATTGAACTTTTTGTTCACAGAAAATACTCAAAATTAAAACAAAATCTTACACCTTTAGACTGGAAATGAAATTTAATATTTTTGATTCTATAACATATGGTATTTTTTTGATTTTCAAGGAAATGCTACGTGAAGTCGGTCGATAAAACCTGCTGTCGAAAACTTAATTTTTTAAAATGCCGTCCAGTGTCAAATAACAAGAATGCTCTTAAATCAGGACAAAACCCTGTCTGTACGTTCCGACTGCCCTTAAATTGAAATACAAAAGTTTTTGGTGAAACAAAACGTTTCGTTACACTAAAAAATTTGGACTGTCAGTATCAACTTTTATGTTGACTAAGTTTGAGTAATACAAAAGAAGTTGTTTTTGAAACTATTGATAAAACTTGACTAGTTTGCCTTAATTCTATTTGGAACAATTTTGTGCGCGAGATAATAAATAGCGATACGCTAGTATTATAGATATAAAAACCTATTTAAGGTGCTGTTTAAGCATGGTCTAAGTCGATTTAGAACAGTGCGTAACACACCCGTCTGAAAATAAGGAGATACCCAGGCTATAAAAATCTTTCAGAGAAAAACACCCCCGTGAATCTAATAATCACTTTCTGGGACAGTCGCAACAAAGACTCTTAGTCGCAACAAAGACTCTTAAAACACTGTTCTTGAAGAATTGGCGTAAGTAAGATTATTTGCTGGAATGTTTTCTGTTTTAAAAAGCAATCATTCAAAAGCTTTTACAAGCATGGTAATTATGTTCTATGATACTTAGCATAATTAATGGTACTTGATAATTCTTTGTTCTATGGTAATCTACTAATCTATTTTACCGTAAAGCTCAGCTACCCAAAATGATTTTTACTGCTTTTCTTCCTTTGAAATAGAGTTTACATTTTGGTTCTACCGCAGATATAGTGTATAAAATCATTGTGCTTATCACCAATTACGCAGACTTCGACCATTTAGTTTATGAAAGAATGTACTGAAAGTTTATAAATAAAATCATTTTTGAAAAAAGTTTACTCAATGCGGGTCTGCTCAGTTATTGCTCAGTAGAGAATAATAGGCTCGATGTGTATTTTCTTTAGTAAAAAACCAACATTTTACGCAAGGAATTTTTTATACCATCTGAAAATAATAACAAAAAAAGATACTTTACCTGTGACAATTTTTTGTAAAATGGTTGTTTGAAAATGGCTTTTTTGGGACCATAAGCGCGTGATATAATTAATTCCATTTGAGTGTTAGTGACTATTTCTTGTGGCTCAGAATTCAATCTAATATTAAATTACAAATACGTTGCTAGACGCTTATTACATCACTATTACTTCATATAGCGTATGGCTGGATTTTTTGAAAAAAAAACAATCAGGAAATAAACTTTTTTTTTGTTTTTTTTTAAACGTTTTATCTATTCCTTAAAAAGATTACTTATGGACGTTAAAGGACAGTCGCAGCATTCATCCTTTTGCCCTGATGGATCAGTCATCAACTCATAGCCAGCCATCAATTTAATAGTTTTCAATTGAAATTGACAAATCTCCAAATATCTCTAAATAACTCCAATTAAACAACTCGCTGTCCCACTGTTTATTCCCACGATATTTAACCCCTATGCTTACACCCCCTATTGATAACCCCGAAACAAAATAACCCCACAGCAATTTAACCCCCTTTTGATGACCATAAATTGTTTCAAATTAACTCCTCTTATTAGGTCCTTTTACACTCATAGTAGTGTTCCAATTATGTGTACTAATTGAGGCCAGAGAAACCATTCATAATTCGCAATCATGCATTTGTCGCTCAAAAACAATTGTATTTTGATTAGATTAAGAAATACTTCCTCATTCACGCGCTGAAAACAGAGATAACCTACAGGGTGCTAACTGAAGGCAACAAAAGACGTCTGTGAAACTAATAGAAAAAAATCATACTGCCTATTTCTTTAGCCATTGTTATACCACTTTATCAGATATAATGTCTTTTCTTTTTTCATTATCTTCGAAAAACAAACAAAAACTAGTGGGTCAGAAGTATCACCCAGAGTGTAAAAAGAAGACAACTACAAATTGGAACAGCTCGAAATACCAAACTCATAAAAGCCGCGTTACAGCAATTACGGATGAAGAAAATCTTATTGAAACGAGGGGTGAACATGATCAAGATATTTTCACGGGCAAAGCGGATGCTCGATTAGTTTTGAAAAATATTTAGGATCTGAGTGATAGTAATACCTCAACCGTGGCAGTGGCAACCGAAATTTAGCCCATAACAGATTTTATTGCCACTCAACTAGACCTACCAACCAAAGAAAACTTAGTCCGCACCGCACAACGATCGCGCAAGCCACGAGAAAAAATCTTAGAAGCCTCCCCAGCAACCAGAAGTTTCGAAATGCCCGAAACTTCTGGTTGCTGGGGCATTTAAAGAAATGTCCAAAAAATTTAAAATTTGACAGTGTGCAAAATGATCACGAGAGGAATATTTTGTTCGGCGACCTTGAAATGCTACGTGTGTTTGAAAAATCCAGATTTTGGTTGGCTGACGGAACTTTCAAAGCCACCCCAAAAATGTTTCGTCAATTTTTCTCTTTACACTTTAGTCTTTCAAGAATATCGCCCTCTTGCATATATGCGTTCCTGCCACATAAAACAGAAAAAACCTACCACCGTTTCCTAGAAGCCCTAAACCTACTTGCCCCTGTTACTAAACCTGAAAAAATTAGCTGGATTTTCAGTAGGCTGGTATTCAAGTGTTTCAGAAAATTTTTCCAGAGTCCAAGCTGTCGGGATGTTTCTTGCATCTTTCACAAAATTGGATGAGAAAATCGCGGAGCTCGGATTGAAAATGGATTACGAAACAAATCCCGATTTCGCTGAAGCACCTAAAATGTTAGTTGAAAGAAGAAATAGGTCTTGACTTTTGAAAAAAAGACGAAATAGGAATTTCAAATGACAAAATAGTGGAGGAAATTCAAACAATATGCAATCGCACCTTCAAAGAGTTGGAAAAAAGCAAAAGTTGACGAGCTTTGCCTTTATTTTCGGATCTAACTACATGAAGAGTCTCGTCCTGATTCGCGAAGTCCTATTCCCCCCTTCATTATTAAATCAAAGGAATGCGGCATCGTCGAGTTTGGCCAGAGCAACATATGCTGTAGAAGGCTTGTATTATGGCATGCATTCACACTTCAGTAGATCGCATCTCAGAACATGGAAAGTGACTGCAAATTTGAAAGAAAACGCTTCCGTCCAAAAATTTATTTTCTATAACGCCTCGATTGGGCACCAATATACAAAAAAGTAAAATACTGGGTGCTCAACGAAAAAGTGCAGAATATTATGCAAGTTTACGAAGAAAAAACGGATTCACATTTCTCCTGGCTATGTCGAACTTGAGTTAAACTTTAGTTTTTTTGTTCTATGTATATATATTTTCAACTTAAAACTTTGTTTATCAACGTTTTTAAGAAAAGACGTCTCCTTGCAGTCTCCCGGAGGCGTAAAAAACGCATTGACTTGACTCGCAATTGAAAAAAACTGTATCTGGCTATTTAATCCCGGAACAATCGCTCCTTCGGCTGAGACGCTGTGTTGGGACTAGAGGCTGGCAAACTTTTTAGACAATGCGTTGTATGCCGACAATTCAAAACAAAGCTGACAAACATTAGATTGTTCGAAAACATAGATAAGTTTTACTTGAAATGATCGATATTTCAATTTAAAATGGTCCTTTTGGATCAATTTTTTGTTCACAGTCAGTTCTCATTGTAGATTTCTTTTGTATTTAGCCAATTTATCGTTTATTTGCAGGAGTTGGTTCAAGATCAAGTTCAGTTTCGGAAAAATCTAATCAGTTTTGGTAACTAATTTGAATCATGTCGGTCGGATTCGTTTTCAAGTTCATATCAAAGTCTAGACCATCGACAAAGTAAAATCTGTTCAAATCTAAAACGCATTTAGCAGCATACAGGTTAATTCTTTTTGGTTCTCAAAGTTTCGCAATTAAAGCTTTGATGTTTACCGACGATATGGTTCCAAATTCCTTTCAAGTAAGTTTCACTTTGATTCGAACAATTGGTATTAAAAAGGGTTAAATTGTAGTGGGGTTATCTAATTTTGTGGTTATATGAGATGGGATTAAGAAAATGGGGGTTAAAAACACGGGGTGATAAGCCTGGGAACCAAATAACTCGCTAAAATAACTCAAACAATGAAAATTTCGATAATGGGCACATAATCTCGAAGTTCCCATGTTTAAAAGTTTACCTTAACAAGCTTCCCATATACAAAACTTCAAGAATATTTCAAGCTAGAATAATCCAACTAACGAGGTTCGAACAAACTACCCATCGAATTCATTTTGCCTGCAAAACTTGTACATACCAGTTTGTTTTTATGGTAAGGTTGAATTGGGTCCTGTCTCGCTGTTTCGTCCGGTGCCTCATAGTCCTCGTCTGCCTGATTCCGGTTCAGCCGATGTTTTCGCAAGTAAAAACTGCTCAGATCCGACATTCCAACGACTAGCCGCACGCTGTTTCGGTTATTGTGTTCTTTACCCGGACTTTTTTGAATTTAGAAGAAAAGTTGATAAAAGCAATCACGTATAGGTTAATTTTATTCAAGTTTTCATTTAATACTCGTGAACTGTAGAACGATAGTTATTTTGTTCCAAATTAAAAATCGTAGTTGAATTTTCAACTGCATTATGATAAAACGTTTCATGTTATGCGTGTTATGTTTGAGTTGATTTCTCTACAATTTATATCTTCATTGATTGTTCAGAGAGTAGTACGCTGCTGGTCGAACATTATTATCGCAGTCAAGCTGACAAACGTGAGTACAAGCTGAAAACGTTTTTAGAATGACAATGTCAAAAAGTTCAAAAAATCACTGCGTTTTAAGATTAAAAACGATACCACCTGAACAAAAAATGTTTTTGTTTTAAAACGGATAACTAAATCATTCCAGGCCAATTTTTTAAATTCAGCTCAAAAGTTTCCATGTGGCCATGAACTGCTCCACTTCTAGTTTCCCTTTTTTGTTTTTGAGGATGAAACTTGGACCAAACTTGGGAGACATTTTCCCTTCATATTGGCGCAAAGTTAGGTCTCAATTGGCATCAGACCTAAAAGCAGCTTGTAACTACGCAAATATTATCGATATCAGGGCTCTGCGGCAGATTATGGTAGCTAATTGTAAAACCTCTGGCTTTATTTGACTTTTTGTACAAATCATCGGTGCCGATGACAAACAGTTTTATAAATGATCGCCAACGGTTTGTGTTCGGCAAGGTCAAATCAATGAAGGTGGCGTCCATGACTTTCTTCCGTACTACCCTGATTTTTGAGTGGAGAAGTTACTTGAATTAAATAAAAGCAGCTATACAAATTTGCAAAAGCAACCAAGGCTAAAACGGAGATGAAAATTTTTGGAAGCGGTGGGAAACAAATTACTTTTTTTGGCGTTCTTCTGAATACTTCCTCGTATGGGGTGAAGAAGAAGATTCGGCAAACTTTGTCCAACATAAGTCATTTCATGTAAAGATACTGCTTCTAATACTTTTCGACAAACTTAGCAAACTTGAAAGCCAAATAATTATCCTTTTTTTTCCAATAAAGCAACTGTGGCGA